TGAGAGTGGTGTCTATTTCTTCGTGTGTCCCCTCTTTGGCCGTCTTACAGGTCGACGTTGTCTTATTCGTTGCTTTGCCGATGGGCGCGGGCGCCCGCAACCCCCCCATGGAGTAGATCTTGGCTGTTTTTGGCGCCTGTTTCGAGCAGGTGGAGTCCTCCCCCGTAGGACGCAGTGTTGCAAGAAGTCGTACTAATCAGAGGTCCGGAGCCAGACACCCCTCCACCCCCCTTCCGCCCAATGTCGAAACGCTGAAAAAGAAAACGTTCACCAGTCGGACCGAGCTATAAGATCGAGGTCGGCTCGAGGAGTTTTCTTATGTGGCACTTCCCGCAATGAAGATCATTCTTTTTCTGCGCCCATGAACAAGGAACTTGGCAGGAGGGTTTACTGCAACATCGTTGGTGCGTCTTGGGTTTACACTGGTCCTCCTCCTCCTCCTCCTCCTCCTCCTCCTCCTCCTCCTCCTCCCTCCTCCTCCCCCTCCTCCCTCATTTCCTACTTTCTCCTCCCCACCCAGGTGCTCCCTCAAGGGGTTCGGCAGCGGCTGGGGGAATCTGGTCCAACAGTTCGGCCAGGCTTCGGCACACAACGTTTGGCCGCATGGGCGTCTACAAAAGGCAGGGGCGGCGATGACTCGCCGTCGGCGTCGTCGATCAGCATAACGTCCACCTCCCAGACGGCCAAGGCTGCCCAAGATAACCTGCAAGACGGCTCAATATTGCCCAGAGCTGTCCAGGATTGGTCTATTGGGTCGTCTTGAGGTCCTCTTTGGACCGTGTCGGGCCGTCTCGGGCCGGTTTGTGGGGCTTTGGGGTCGTCTTGGACGCTCCGAAGATTGAACATGGGAGCAACCGGAAATCATAGTAGAAAATGGGTTGTGCTTCAATACGTAGATTGCTGACCCCGAAGACCCCCAAGGCAACCCAGGACGCACCCCCAAGAGCGTCTTGGACCCTCTTGGGGCCATCTCGGCCGTCTTGCACAGTATTGGAAGCCACCCGTAATGGAAGCCTTTTTGGAACGTCTGGGGCGTTCTAGGTGCCATCTTGCATTTTGGAGGCGGACATTGTGCAGATTCTGGTTGCAGGCCTATTTTGCAGGGGCGGGCGCATCGGGCCAGAGCCCACTCCTCCTCCTCCTCCTCCTCCTCCTCCTCCTCCTCCTCCTCCTCCTCATCCTTCCTTCTCCTCCCACCGACAGGTGGTCCGAAATTTGCCAGGGCCTAGCAAATCCCATGAAGTCCAACACGGTAAGGCCACTCCACAGACCACGGGGGCCGTGGAGGATCGAAGGCGCCGCCTACGGCGAGGCACCGCCGCCCCCACGCCCTTCTTGAACGGTGTCGATGTGTCAAAACGTTAGGTCGAAGCTGGGCCAAGCTATTGAATTAATTATGCGTTTCCCAAGCCGTTGTGGAAACTCTTGGGGGAACGCGTGGGGAGGGAAGGCAGTGGTCAGTGGATGAGGAAGGGATGCAAAGGAGGAGGAGGAGGAGGAATAGAGGCCCTCCTGATGCCTCATGGAGGCTTCCTGGGAGCATTTTGGGGGCCTCAGGTGTGCCTCTTGGGGGCCTCTTGGAGCCTCTTAGGGGCCCCTGGCCGGGGCGGAGATGATTGGCCTCTTGGAGCCCTCTTGGGGCATCTTGGGGGCCTCTTGGGCCGCCGTAATCAATCTTGGGCCGTCTTGAAACAACATTGGCCCGTCTTGGGCCATATTGCAGCCGTCCCGGCTTTCTTGGAGGACAAGCTGAACCGTGATGTAGGCCATCCTTGCTTTCTTGGGGACATTCTGGCACCTTCCTGGGCGGAAAAAACAGTTGGGACACATATTTTCTGGTGTGCTGACGGGTTGTGCCAAGACCACCGGGATCTTTTCGGACGTGTTCAAACGGTAAAATTTGGCACACCGGCAAATTTCTTGCAAGCAACAGGGGGCGGCGGATCTAGTGGCCCCGTCGGCCCATACCGCCACAGTGCCTGGGTTGTTGGCCAGAGGCTTCTGGGATGCCTGTTAGGGTCACCTGGGACGTTTCGGGGGCCTCTTGGAGGCCTCTTGGGGCCTCCTGTGTTCGCCTTGGGCGCTTCGAAGGGCCTCTTGGAGACCTTGGGGACCTGAAGACGCTTTCGGGGCTAAGCTTAGAATTGAAGGCTCTAAATGTCAGTTCTGTTCCCCCCTCTTGGGTCCGTATTGGGGCCTCTTGGGTCCTTCTTGGGGGCATCGGGGGTTGTCTGGGAAGGATATCGCGGGCCTATCGGGCCCTTTTTGGACGCTCTTGAAATGGAAAAAAACTATATTTATACAACCATGCAACCACTTGCGGTGTCTCTGTGATGTTGTTTTCTTGGGCTAACGCAGGCGCCTCCAAGACGGCCCAGTTGCGTCAAAACGTGAGGCCCAAGCTGGGCCAAGCTATTGGACTGCGTGTTCGGCGCCTCCAAGAAGGTCGCCAGCATCGCCCCAAGGCGGCCGTCCCAGAGAGTCAGGGCGCGTTGGAGGCTGAGGCCCACGGCCACGCTCTCCAAAGGCCTGTGCCGAAGGCGCGCGGGGACTCCCGGGGCGCGGAGAAGCGCCCAGTGAGCGCCCGGGAAGCGCCGGAGGACGGGGGCCTTCAGGGGCAACGGTGGGGGGGGATGGGCTTAAGTCGGGCCTGTCCCTCTACAGGGGGAGTATTCAAAAATAGTCAAAGAATAGTCTGGAACGATTTGTCGAGCACTTATTTATTACCATTTTGGTGTACTTTGGTGTATTTTTCATTTTTCGTCCAAATTCCTTCTGTGGAGGACAGGCCCGACTTAAGGATGGGCATGGGGGGGACGCGTCAGCCCCCAATCGTCCACTCTTCGCCGATGGGGGCCCGATAGCCCCCCCACGCCCCAGGAGCGTGGATACTTGCTATCGGGGGCCAGTCGCCGATCCATCGGCGATGTCTCGCCGATTCCGGGTCGGCGTTTCCCTCCTATGCCAGTCCCCCCCCCCCCTGTCGATGCCCCTCAGGCCTTCGCTCCTTGGAGAGCATTTGCAATATGGCGTTGTTCATTTTGTACGTGTTCCACGGGTTATGGAACGAGGCCAACACGAGGTCACACCAGCCCCGTTGGGCTCCCGAGGGCTCCCCCGCAGGGCTCCGAGAGGGGTGGCACAACATTCCTGCGAACACGGGTGTGTGATTGCCGCAAGCTGGCGCTGCTATAACTCGGAAACTGGAACATATAACTACATTACCAGTGGCGGGCTGGTTTTCAATCCCAGGATTTCTTGGGGGTCGAGGACGACGCTGGGGTGGTGTGGTGTATATTTTTTCCCCGATGTCCCGGGGAAACAACGAACAATGTATACACCAGGCTCCCGTATACACCAGTATCCGCTCTCCAGTGCGAATTCGAATGCAGGGCCGTAAGAAGCGTCGGTGTATAGAGTTCGATTCCATAATAACATGCACGCGGCCATGTTCAAAACAAAGATACTGAGTCGAAGGGACGGCACGGCGGATACGGCCCCAGGGTCGTAAGTTCGCCATTCTCTTGACGATTTCGGGCATTTGCGACCAACTCACGCCCAGCACGTCGTTCGCCCATTCCCCAATCAGCGCTTGCACTGAAGGGGTCCTCGCGGATACTGAGAAATTTGGCGAAAGTCCCAGGCCGATTTGGGTAGTCGGCTAGGTTCGGGTTTCCCGGTGCTCTCGGTTCCGGGTTCTGCGCCGATTTCGGTGGGCGGTTGTCTTCGGTTCCCAGTTTTTGGTTCCAGGGTTCTCGGCAGCGTAAGGATGGTTGGGTTCCCGGGTTCCCGGCTTCGGGATTCCCGACAGTGCAAAGTTGGGTGGGTTCACGGGTTCCAGCTTCGGTGGATTGTTGGGTTCTCGGGTACGGTTCTTGGTTCCCGATTCCGGGGTCGGCTTATTGGTTCCCGTTTTTGGATCCCTGGCATTGTAAGGTTCTGGGATTATGAATGCTTCGGTTGTGGTGAAGGAGTCTTTGACCGTAAAGAGTACAGGGGTCATAGACTTGTTAGTATAAAGATTGTATCGTACATTTAGAGACTACCTATCAGAGAGCACAGGGCGAAGTTGGGTGCATATAGGAAAGAAAGAGAACGAGAGAGAGAGAGAGAGACAAACAACAACAAAAATATAAGCACTCGATTTTAGGGCTTAGGAAGAGAGGGAGAGGAAGGGAGAAGAGAGAGAGAGAGGGAGAGGAAGGGAGAAGAGAGAGAGAGAGGCAAACACACACACACAGCACACTTCACGCAGATACGCAACACTAGCTGAGAAGGGGCCTGGGACATTTGTGCAAGATGGTAAACAAAAAGTCGGCGCGGAAGGGGCGCTCTGGCTGGTGGGTGGAGGGATGCGGGGGGACGCGCTGGATGGGAAGGGGGCGGTGCCGTGCCGAAGTAAAGTGGTCGGGGCGGAGGGGGCGCGCTGGCTGGTGCATGGGGCGCTCGGGATGGAGGGGGCGGTGCCGTGCCGCGCTGAAATACCAGGTTCGGGGCAGGTGGCGCGCTGGCTGGTGGGCGGGGGGGATGCGGAAGGGGCGCGCGGGATGGGGGGGGGCGGTGCCGTGCCGAAATACAGGGGTCGGGGCTGAGGGGGCGCGCTGGTCGGTGGATGGGGCGGTGGAGGTGGCGCTCGGGATGGGGGGGGCATATCGAGCAAGCCGGAACTCATATGAAAGGTAGATACACGAGAGAACAGAAAGAGAGATTTAGAGAGAAATAGGAGGATACGGTGGGGGCGTTGACTAAGGAGTGTGCCCAGGAGCCTGCAGACCCGCGAGGATGCTTTATTTGATGAGGACGGCGGTGGTGTCCATGGCCAAGCCTCGAGTGGAGTTCCTCCGGCCTCCAGACCCTGGATTCCTTATCTAAGGGTTCCTTATCCAGGGCCCCCAGGCAGGCGACGTGTACAGAAAGCCAACGCATGGCGATTCAATCCCGAACGCGGACAACATCGATCCCGCAATGGCAGCAGCATATTTGAGTGCTGCATTCTGCAGGAGAAGAAGCAGCAGTACAAGGTGTATCGTGAGGATATCTCGGAAGATGCGTGCCCCTTCAACCACAGGACGTTGCAAAGGGTCCGGGCTTGCGATGATGATTTCTTGCTTATTTTGCATCGTACATCATCCCATCTCTCATCCTGGCTGAGCGAAGCAGGGCGGACAACGAAGAAGCGTGGTACAAGAGGCGAAGGATGGAGAGGATGGGAAGGGTTGAAATGAGAGCCGAAAGAAGAAGAGGCAGAAGGAGGAAACGGAACGAAGAGATAAGAGGGACAACGTGACAGGTTCAAGCTTTGTTGGCTCAAGTAATGACAGGCTCGCGAGGTATTCGAAGCACAGTTTGGCAGATGTAGGCAGGCAGTGTTGGCAAGATGGAGGACGGTGAACGCAAGTGTCATAGATCACAGAGTCGTGGGAAGAATCAAATAATGAGGCACGTCTCAAGGTCGAAGACTTATGCCTGAAAACCTCGGACAAGGTTGTGCCCAGGCATGCCGCAGAACTTGAGATTTTTGCCGACGACGTCGATAAGACCATCATCGCACATATCGGTTGCGAGAGCGAGCATTCCGCTGAACGCCCGGAAAACCCCGACACGAAGATTGTTGCCCTGGCCTGCTCGAGGCACCATCGAACAACTCCACCAGCAGGCTTGCGCTGGCTCAGCTCGCTGCCGAAAGGCTTGTGGACAAGTCCGATGACACGACGACGAAGACAGAGAAGGGCCAGCAATCAAGGGAGGAACAACTACCCGGACCCGATAATTGGCGCTTACTAAACGGCCTTTGGCGTTTTTTCAACAGCCTTGCCCTGTTCGATTCCTTCCTTGAGTGCGGTTATTAAACGGCCTCGCTTGTCGGGGTGGTTATTCTGGGGCCCTCTAAGCAAGCAGCACGCGAAAGTTCCCGGGTCGGCAGTTGCATGGCGTCTCCCGGAAGTTCGGGGTCCCGAAGCAGTGCGTCAGACCGTGCGGTGATCTCAACATCCTAGAAAACCTCACCACACTGTCACCGCACGGTTGGGGGACCTTGGAGGCCTCCCTTCGCCCGAGATGTACGACCCGAGTCCCAAATTCTTGCGGCCACCCCAGATCCCCACTGTTTCACCTCACAGTGTAGTCTCCGCGCCGTTTGGGGGGCCCCCAGTGGAGGAGTTCAGGGTGAGCGCAGCCTCTCCGCTGCGGCAATCTGGTGGTTGGACGCGCCGCGGGAAGCCCGGGTCACGCTAACGTAAGTATGTTCAGCCTACCTAGTCTGACTTGCCTCAGGATGATGCTTCGTATTGCAGCCAGTCGCAGCTATTCCTCCATCTGCTCCTCCGCTTCTTTTGTCCGTCCTTCCCCACCCGCCCTACCCCATCCCCTTTTCCCTTTTTCCTCTTTCTTCTCCTGCCTTTTTTGTCCTCCCCTCCTTCCCCCCCCTTCCTCCTCCTCCTCCTCCTCCTCCACTTCCGTTACCTCGCCCCTTCCTCCTCTGACTCTCTTCTTCCTCCTCCTCCTCCTCCTCCTCCTCCTCCTCCTCCTCCTCCTCCTGTGCATCCTCCTCCTCTTCCTCCTCCTCCTTCCCTCCTGCCCCTTTAGCTGCCGCCCCGGCTCGAGGCTTTGGGTGCAGGTGTCAGACACCTGCGAGCCTCGACCGCCGCCGGGCAGCTGCCATACGCGCTGGCCGCCGCGCACGCCTGGCGCGCAGCGGGCCGGCCGTGCCCCGCCCACGCTGCGGGCCGCCACGCCTCTCGGGAGGCGCCGAGCGCGCGCCAACCCAGCCTGGCACCGTCGTGCCCGCTGGCTGCGCGGCCAGGCTCGCGTGCTGGTGCGACTGGCAGACGCGAGGGCTCGTCTCGGGGTTGCTGGACGCGACCCAAGGCCGCTGGCCGACGCCAGCCCACGCCTCCGTGAGCATCACAGCGCCGCCTCGCCCGACGCAAGCATGTACGGCAAGGGCGGCGCTGGGGGAGGCAAGGGCGCTGGGCCCTCAGGAGGGGGACGCACTGGCGCTGGCGGCAAGGGGCGCCCCGCGGCTACGAGCGGCCCGAGCCATGCGACGCCGCCGTGGCATGTCCCGCCGCCGCCGCCTGGCTGGTGGTGCTCGTCGTGCGGCGGGCTCAACGGCCCCGCCGACGCCCTGTGCCGCACTTGCTTCCCCCTCCCCGAGCACGGGCCAGTGCACGGAGATGGAGGAGGAGCAGCTCGACCGCGCGCGGGCCCGCGCGGCGACGGCCGCCAGCCTCGATCTGCCTCGAGGCGTAGGCGCCGCGGCGGCAAGGGCGAAGCACGACAGCCAGAGGCCGAGCCGCGGCCGCGGTCAGCCTCGCGAGTCCGCTTCGAGGACGAGGGCACGGAGGACGACGGAGGCGATCCGCGGCCGCGGTCGGCCTCGAGCCGCCGCCGGCGCTCCGCCGACGGCGATGGCCGACGGAGGCGGCCCGCGGGAGGCGAGTCCGACGCATCGGATGGCGAGGAAGACGGCCGCAGTCCCGCGTTCGGCATCCTGCCCGCGCTGCCGTTGGACGCGCGGGCTCACCCAGCCTGGGTCGAGCCGCCGTCGGACGAGCGCGGGCTCGCGGCCCACAGGCGCTCACTGCGCCAGATGGCCGCCGCCACGGGCAAGAGGCTGCAGGCGGCCATGGAGCTCGGCATGAGTGCTGAGCAGAGGCGGCCGCAGGAGGAGGAGTACGCGGTGCAGCTCAGCATGATTATCCTTGCCCGCCCCGCTGGCGTCCGCTGCGACCGCCAGCGCAGCTTCGCGCAGCGGGCTCAGGCCAAGCTGGAGAAGGCCGAGGCCGCAGCTGCGCGGGCGCGAGAGGAGCTCGCGGAGCAGGAGGCGAAGGTGGTGCAGCGCGCCGAGGCCCTCGGTCGGGCCAAGACGCTGCTGGAACAGCTCGAGGCCATGGTCCCCGCGGGCGACGAGCCGATGGAGGAGCCCATCGCGCCGACGCCCGTGGCGGGCGCCGAGGGCGACGCAGCCCCAGGCACGCCGCCCGACCGCGCGCCGCCCATCGCGGCCATCGCAGAGCTGCAGGCTGGCCAGGCGGCCCTCACCCAGCAGCTCGTCGGCCTCACGCAGCTGCTGACGACGATGCAGGGCCAGATGGCGGCGGCCCGCGGTGGGGCGGCGCCTGGCGAGACCACTACGCCCGCGCCCGACGTGCGGCCCTTTGCAGGGCCCCCCCAGCGCTTGGGGCCAGCTGCCCCCGCGCCCAGGCCCGAGGCCCCTGCCGCGGCCTACCCCGTGCCGGCCGACGCACCTGTGGCCCGCGCCCCCCAGGAGGGGCCCCCGCCTGCTGGCGCCGCCGTGAGTGCGGCATGGGGCGCTGCTGGACCCGCCGCTGCCGAGGCCGTCGAGGTGCCAGTCAGCGCCGAGGAGGATGTTGCTGCTGCCGCCACGGCCGAGGCAGCCCGCAAGGCGAGGGCAGCTCAGCGTGCTGAAAGGAAGGCTGCAGAACGTGCACGTCGCCCTGATGGCCAGCAGGGACTGCGAGCCGCTTTGGCTCGCCAGGCGTCAGCGCGGCCAGGCGCGAGCAGCCACCGTGGCCGAGGCGCCCTGCCGCCGTCGCCGCGCGGCCGTGCCGCCGTCGCCGCAGAGGCCGGAGAGGACGCCGCCGCAGGGGCGGCCAGCCGCCGCCAGCGCCGCAGCCGCAGCCACAGCCCACGGCGGGAAGCGCCCGACGGCTTCATGCTGTGCGGCGGCCGCGCCGGCTCCACCGAGGACAGCGAGGGAGCTACGTCGACGCTGGGGTGATGTGTCACGGCGGGCGGGCCTCGGGGAGCGAGAGGGCTGCCACTGAGCCGTCTCAAGGCCCGCCTGCGACTGGCGCGCCGCCAGTCATGCCGACTGCCACGAGCGGCAGCCTTGTCGGCCGAACCGAGGGTCGATCCGTGAGGGGAGGGGGCCATAGTGGGCGCTCCGAAAGGAACTCGCGAAGCCCCCGCCCCACAGCGGCGCTCGCCGAGGTAAGGTCGACGAGTGCAGCTGCTCCCTCGCCTCGGATGGAGTCCGAGGCCCAGCAGCAGCCACGCTGCCCAATACCAGATTGCACCGATCTAGTCAGGCTACTGTGTCAGCCCTGGCTATCTTGCTCTCTCACTCCCGTCTTTCTTGGGCCAACTCAACTGCCCGAACATTGCCTCTTTCATCCTTACCTTCATAGTAGTACCTGCCATTTTTTTGAGACCCACGGAGCTTCTCCCCCCCCGACAGTGAGCAGGTTGTCAGGATGGAGGTGCATACGGACGGGTCTGGTGGGACCAAACAACAGCACTTGGGTGGACCACCGTCTTGGGCATGGTGCATATTTTCGGTTACGACGACTGGCAGGTACATCTGTGAAGGGTACTTGTGTGGTGTCGATCCTGATCTCTCCACCTCTGTTGCGAGCCCGTCTGGAGCTTCAGAATTTCAAGCCGCACTGTGGCTGGTGCTATGGTTATTGCAAGCTCCTCCTCGTTTTCGGGCCCAACCCGCGGTGGTATACGCAGATAACATGCTGGTGGTTTCCGCGGCCGACGGGGGAACGAGATATGCGTCGTGCGGTGATTTCCCATGGCTCTTTGATGGGGCCCTCGAGCTATTACGTCAGTTTACGAAGCTGAGCTGGAATCACGTCCACGGCCACAATGCCGATCCGCTGAATGAGCTTGAAGATGCCATAGCACGACTGGCTTCCATGGGAATTGCGCCGACAGTAGAGCCTGACTTTCAACCGTGGTCAGTTTTGCTTGCGTCAGCCTCTCTTGTACCATGGATGTGGACGTCTGCCAATTCCAACTTCGGTCATGGGGAGTATCCGAAAGTTGGCGCATGCGAAATGCCCTCCATCAACCCTCCCGAGCTAGATCTCAGAACTGCCTTCCTGCCATCTGCTGGCCGCGGCTCGGAAAACTCGTCTGTGCCACGAGTATCTCCGACATCGGGTTTGCAGCCTCAGGTGAGTTTTGCAGTGGCGAACGTACTCACACTGCGGCCCCGCAGGAAGGCTGCCCGACGAGGGAGAGGTACTCGAATACGGCGTCGGTACCAAGACGCGGCCGGCCTGGGTTTGCCCGGACGCATGCTCGCACTGGCTCATCAGTTTTCCGCG